GCCACAGAAACGTTACTCAGGGACACAGAATTGTTACTGAGGGCCACAGAACACTTAGGGCCACAGAAACGTTACTCAGGGCCACAGAATTGTTACTCAGGGTTACAGGGCACAGAATTGTTACTGAGGGCCACAGAATTGTTACTGAGGGACACAGAATTGTTACTGAGGGCCACAGAACCGTTACTTAGGGCACAGAAACGTTACTCAGGGACACAGAATTGTTACTGGGGCCACAGAAATTGTTACTTAGGGCCACAGAAACGTTACTTAGGGCCACAGAATTGTTACTCAGGGACAGACACAGAACCGTTACTTAGGGCCACAGAATTGTTACTCAGGGACAGACACAGAATTGTTACTCAGGGACAGACAGAATTGTTACTGAGGGCCACAGAAAATGTTACTTAGGGCCACAGAAACGTTACTCAGGGACACAGAATTGTTACTCAGGGACACACACAGAATTGTTACTCAGGGACACAGACACAGAATTGTTACTGAGGGACAGACACAGAATTGTTACAGGGGCCACAGAACAGAATTGTTACTGAGGGACACAGAGAAATTGTTACTGAGGGCCACAGAATTGTTACTTAGGGCCACAGAATTGTTACTTAGGGCCACAGAAACGTTACTCAGGGACACACAGAATTGTTACTCTGGGGACACAGAATTGTTACTGAGGGCCAGAACCGTTACTTAGGGCCACAGAATTGTTACTGAGGGACACACAGAATTGTTACTGAGGGCCACAGAACCGTTACTTAGGGCCACAGAATTGTTACTCAGGGACAGACAGAATTGTTACTGAGGGCCACAGAATTGTTACTGAGGGACACAGAATTGTTACTGAGGGCCACAGAAACCGTTACTTAGGGCCACAGAATTGTTACTCAGGGACAGACACAGAATTGTTACTGGGGCACAGAATTGTTACTCAGGGACACAGAATTGTTACTCAGGGACACAGAATTGTTACTGAGGGCACAGAACCGTTACTTAGGGCCACAGAAACCGTTACTCAGGGCCACACAGAATTGTTACTCAGGGACAGACACAGAATTGTTACTGAGGGACACAGAATTGTTACTGAGGGACACAGAATTGTTACTGAGGGACACAGAATTGTTACTCAGGGACAGACACAGAATTGTTACTCAGGGACAGACACAGAATTGTTACTCAGGGACAGAGACAGAAATGTTACTTAGGGCCACAGAACGTTACTTAGGGGCCACAGAATTGTTACTCAGGGACACAGAATTGTTACTCAGGGACAGACACAGAATTGTTACTCAGGGACAGACACAGAATTGTTACTGAGGGACACAGAATTGTTACTGAGGGACACAGAAATGTTACTGAGGGCCACAGAACTGTTACTTAGGGCCACAGAACTGTTACTTAGGGCCACAGAAACGTTACTCAGGGACACAGAATTGTTATTACTCAGGGACACAGAATCGTTTAATTAAAGAGTATGTCAGACAACATGCAGAGGAGTGGCAGAGGAGGCAATGTTTTAGGAGCGAGCAGACGTGGCAGCAGAGGAAGGGGTCGAGGCAGCACTATTCGCAGCCAGAGGCTAGTGCTCCCGGTGTCATCCAGTACAGTGAGGAAGAGCTAACAGAGGGCGGTCAGGAACGGGGGGGAGACATCCGCCTCTTCAGCAGCCAGGCGAAGAAGTAGTGGCGAGGAGAGTGGCTCGGTAGCCGGTCTAGAGACAGGTCTGTCTCCTGACCCACACGCAGCCGAGGGGGCTAGTAGTGAGGCGGAGACCCTAATTGATGATGATGATGAGGCTGATCGCACTTGGCAGCCTCGTCGTCATCAGGCTATTGCTTCCGCATCATCAGGAGAAGAGGGTGGCAGCTTGGCAGCGAGCAAAACAGTCGGTGGGTTGTCTCCATCGCCACACTCTGCCATGTGCCACTTTCAGGTCTCCTCACACACTGCTGGTGTGTTGAATTTTTTTGACATAGGGTGCTGGCAGATTACGGGCCTCCCATAGCTGCTGCCCAGCCCCTAATCTGCCATGGGCCCCTATATACCGCCTCCTCATGCTGCTGCCAAGTCCAGAGTCTCTCATGGGTCCCTGTACGGCCTCCCATTGCTGCTGTCTCCATCGCCACACTCTGCCATGTGCCACTTTCAGGTCTCCTCACACACTGCTGGTGTGTTGAATTTTTTGACATAGGGTGCTGGCAGATTACGGGCCTCCCATTGCTGCTGCCAGGCCCCTAATCTGCCATGGGCCCCTATATACCGCCTCCTCATGCTGCTGCCAAGTCCAGAGTCTGTCATGGGTCCCTGTACGGCCTCCCATTGCTGCTGTCTCCATCGCCACACTCTGCCATGTGCCACTTTCAGGTCTCCTCACACTGCTGGTGTGTTCCATTTTTTGACATAGGGTGCTGGCAGATTACGGGCCTCCCATAGCTGCTGCCAGGCCCCTAATCTGCCATGGGCCCCTATATACCACCGCCTCCTCATGCTGCTGCCAAGTCCAGAGTCTCTCATGGGTCCCTGTACGGCCTCCCATTGCTGCTGTCTCCATCGCCACACTCTGCCATGTGCCACTTTCAGGTCTCCTCACACTGCTGGTGTGTTGAATTTTTTGACATAGGGTGCTGGCAGATTACGGGCCTCCTATAGCTGCTGCCAGGCCCCTAATCTGCCATGGGCCCCTATACACCACCGCCTCCTCATGCTGCTGCCAGGTCCAGGCGAACGTAGTCACACAGGGGAGGAACTTCTCAGTGTAATGAACAGAGAAATCGACAGATGGCTGTCTCCGCGCAAACTGAAAATCGGAACCATGTTGACCGACAACGGAAAGAACATGGTGTCTGCTCTGCGTCAAGGAAGGTTGTGCCATGCGCCATGCATGGCTCACGTGTTCAATCTGGTTGTCAAGCGGTTCCTAAAATCCACCATCCCACTGCAAGACATCCTTAAAATGTCACGTAAACTTTGCATGCATTTCAGCCATTCCTACACCGCAAAGCACACCCTCCTTGAGCTGCAGCGGCAGAACGGAATTCCACATCATCGCCTGATCTGCGACGTTGCAACAAGGTGGAATTCAACCCTACACATGTTAGACCGCCTTTACGAGCAGCGAAAGGCCATCACCGATTTCCTGATGTTACAAGCGGATAAAGGTACTCCCCCTGTGTAACTTCGATGTCAGCCATTGGCAGCTCATGCGTGACACCTGCCGCTTGCTCAGGCCCTTTGAGGAGGCCACGCTATTCGTGAGTCGGCAGGACTATGGGATGAACGACGTCATTCCTCTGTTGCACGTCCTTGAACAAATGCTGTTAACAATGGCTGGTCAGGGTGCGGTAGACGTGGCGCACAGATCTCAACGCCACATGACCCCTGTGGGGGCAGGACAGGAAGAAGAGGAGGAGGTAGAGGAGGACATTTGTGCTCAGGAATTATTGAGTGAAATGGGTGGTTTTTTCCACTCAGCGGACAGGAGTGGAGGAGCAGGAGCATCTGGTAGAGGAGGAGGAAGAGGAGACAGAGGACCCAGACGCACCGTGGCAGTATGCTGTGGAGATGGAGGCAGGGAGTCCCTCGCATTCCTTGGCACAAATGGCCCATAGCATGCTCGCTTGCTTGCGTACCGACAGCCGAATAATAACCATCAGACAGAGGGATGACTTTTGGCTGTCCACCTTGTTGGACCCTCGCTACCGTTCCAAAATGGTGGCCTTTTTCACACCTGCTGAGAGGGAGGCCAAAATAACGTACTATAAAAACCACCTATGTAGTCAGCTGGTCTCTGCCTGTCTGCGCCAACGTCCATCCTCAGACACTGTGGGCCCTGTGCGCTCGCGTTATGCTGCCATGGCAGCAGGGGAGGGGTGGGGTGGTAGGAGCAGTGGCAGCTCCACCAGCAGCAGCTGCCTCAGTCTGCAGTCGATGATGAGTAGCTTTTCTTCACCAGCGCAGTGAGGAAACTAATAACCAGCCGCAGCAGCAGCAGCAGCAGCATCAGGTGGACCTGGAGCAGGGACCTCAAACAACAGGCTTAGGCCTACTTGGACAGCACCCTGTCAACCGAGGTAGACAATCCCCTTGACTACTGGGCAACGAAACTTGACCTTTGGCCCCAACTAGCTGAATTTGCCCTTGAAAGGCTGTCATGCCCGGCCAGTAGCGTGGCATCGGAGCGCGTGTTTAGTGCGGCAGGAGGTATTGCAACTCCGCGGAGGAGGACACGACTGTCCACCCAAAGTGTGGAGAGACTCACGTTTGTGAAAATGAATCAGGCGTGGATTAGTCTGGATTTCAAACCACCAGTTCCTGACACAACTGACTAAATCCGCCATGAATCATGCCCCAAACATGTGCCACTTTCAGGTCTCCTCACACTGCTGGTGTGTTCAATTTTTTGACATAGGGTGCTGGCAGATTACGGGCCTCCCATAGCTGCTGCCAGGCCCCTAATCTGCCATGGGCCCCTATACCGCCTCCTCATTGCTGCCAAGTCCAGAGTCTGTCCTGGGTCCCTGTACGGCCTCCCATTGCTGCTGTCTCCATCGCCACACTCTGCCATGTGCCACTTTCAGGTCTCCTCACACTGCTGGTGTGTTTTCAATTTTTTGACATAGGGTGCTGGCAGATTACGGGCCTCCCATAGCTGCTGCCAGGCCCCTAATCTGCCATGGGCCCCTATACCAGCCTCATGCTGCTGCTGCCAGGTCCAGAGTCTGTCATGGGTCCCTGTACGGCCTCCCATTGCTGCTGTCTCCATCGCCACACTCTGCCATGTGCCACTTTCAGGTCTCCTCACACACTGCTGGTGTGTTCCATTTTTTGTCATAGGGTGCTGGCAGATTACGGGCCTCCCATTGCTGCTGCCAGGCCCCTAATCTGCCATGGGCCCCTGTACCCGCCTCCTCATGCTGCTGCCAGGTCCAGAGTCTGTCATGGGTCCCTGTACGGCCTCCCATTGCTGCTGTCTCCATCGCCACACTCTGCCATGTGCCACTTTCAGGTCTCCTCACACACTGCTGGTGTGTTCCATTTTTTGTCATAGGGTGCTGGCAGATTACGGGCCTCCCATTGCTGCTGCCAGGCCCCTAATCTGCCATGGGCCCCTGTACCGCCTCCTCATGCTGCTGCTGGGTCCAGAGTCTCTCATGGGTCCCTGTACGGCCTCCCATTGCTGCTGTCTCCATCGCCACACTCTGCCATGTGCCACTTTCAGGTCTCCTCACACACTGCTGGTGTGTTTCCATTTTTGTCATAGGGTGCTGACAGATTACGGGCCTCCCATTGCTGCTGCCAGGCCTGTAATCTGCCATGGGCCCCCGTAGCCGCCTGGTCACGCTGCTGCTGGGTCCACAGTGTGACATGGGTCCCTGTACCGCCTCCCATTGCTCCCACTCTGCCATGTGCCACTTTGAGGTCTCCTCACACTCCTGCTGTTTTCCATTTTGTCATAGGTTGCTGGCAGATTACAGGCCTCCCATAGGTGCTGCCAGGCCCCAAATCTGCCATGGGCCCCCGTACCGCTGGTCACGCTGCTGCTGGGTCCACAGTGTGACATGGGTCCCTGTACCGCCTCCCATTGCTCCCACTCTGCCATGTGCCACTTTGAGGTCTCCTCACACTCCTGCTGGTTTCCATTTTGTCATAGGTTGCTGTATGGCCTCCCATTGCTGCTGCCTCCACCGCCACACTGTGGCTCCAAACACTGGTTTTGGCCCCGTGACTGGCCAAATGAGTGAAGTGTGCGGTGATTCTAAGATCAACGGCACTCATCTGCATGTCATACTGACTGACAGTATTATTTCTCTTCCCCAGCAGACTCCAAGGGCATTTAAATTAAAGGTACAGTGTTCTGCACTAATATTAAGTCTCTCTGAAGCCTAGAAACACCCTTTTTTTAAGTTAAATTCACAGCAAATATATTCGACTCGAATCGAATATTTTCCACGAATTCGCCGAATCAGTCGAATCGAATTTTTGAATACTTCGCTCATCTCTAGTTAGGAGCTACTGTATTGTGGATAGCTGAAGCAAAGAGATGTGTGAGGATGTGTGAGGAGTATGATCTTCAAATACAGTCCTTGCCACAAACTTTGTAGCTTAGTACAAACACAAGATGGTCAATGTTTCTAGTACAGACCTTCCTTTCACAAATGTAGGCCATGATGTGTTTTGGGGGGGCCTTGAGGCCTGTCACTACGTATCACGCATGTAGAGGTCATGCAAACAGCAAGCACTGGGCAATCATTTTCATTTGTATTGCAGAGCTGTTCATCTTGAGGTTATTGATTTTCTGCATACTTCAAAATCCCTATTTGCCCTTAGATGCTTCATTTCCATTAGGAGTCCTGTCAAACAAATATGCTCAGAGAAAACACTGATATTACTGTGGGTACCAAAAACCTGCCAATCATATCAAACAGTAAATCCAAAAGTGTGGCCTGGATCTAAAATTGGCCCCAAGTACTATCAAGGGTTAGATCTCAGCTCTTGCATTTTGTTCCAAAGACCATTAACAACTATTTCTTGTAAGACCTTTGTAAAGGGTGTTTCTCACGTGGCTCCTTTTGCCTACCTTTGTCTCTGTGGGATTTTAATTTGGTTGTTTAGGCAGTTCGAATAGCACCTTTTGAACCTCTCAGGGATATTCCCCTTTCCACACTCATTCAAAAGGTTGTGTTCTTTGCCGTCACTGCTACAAGGCAGATGTCTGCACAGTTGCCTTTGTCCTGTACAGAACTCTTTCTGGTCATACACAAAGACAAGATGGTGTTAAGGCCTTGAGCCCTTTCCTTCCCAAGGTTACTTCAGCCTATCATCTAAACAGGTCATTGTGCTCCTGTCACTCTGTCTAGTCCTAATACATCAGGAGATTGCCCTTTATTGCCTGGATGTAGTTTGAGCTGTGCATGTTTACCTCACAGCCACTGTCTTCATTAGAAAGATTGACTCTCTCTTTGTCATCCCTATTGATTTCCATAAAGGGGAACCAGCTTCTCATTCCACTATATCTCAGTGGCTGAAAAATGAACAGAACATATCCTTCTATAGTGCATACTTACCTCAGTTAAATGCACCTAGTGTGAATCTTGTCTGGTCCCTCCTTCCTCTGCTATATGCATGAGTCATTTTTGACAGTCAATTTGGAAATTAGATCGTGGAGATGACCCTGCCCCCTTCACCACATAGCAGCTGATTAACAGCCTCTGTTGTGCATGTTTCCCTTTGAGGCTGGATAGGGGGTGGGTGTCCTTTCCCTGCACTCAGGTCTCAGATTACAGTCAGCTCTGTGCAGTGTGTGATGTCAGATCCCCACCCCGTCTTCTGGAAGCTCAGAAATACCCTTTGATGTGTGAACTTGAATGGCTGTAGAGAAGAGAGGGCTGCAGCTGAAAAGGCACAACGTATGAATGAGGATTTGTTTAATCTCTGTATCACCTGACCCACTCAGTTCAGTAGGCCTATGTAAGGGTTTACAAGCACTTTAAAGGATCGGGTCCTCCCTTTCGTGACAATGTGCATTGTACTAGATTTGTGAGTGCTTCTTGAGTTAACAGGTGGATGTTCAGGCCATTTCTGATGCCCACTTTGGGTCTAAAGTCCCTCAGATAACTATTTGAATAGCAGGCAAACCCCAGCTTGTTTTTAGTCTGGCCTGTTGGTGTTTTGTTTGCGGTGTTGTCCACCCCTACTTTTGGATGTCACAAATGATTCAGAATCCTATGTCTTGGAGTTAATTGAAGTACACCGGTCCCAGCCCTTTATAGGTTTATGGTCTTGCTATCAGCACTGCTTTGTGCCAAAACAAAAAAGAGGCATACTGTACCTGGGAAGGGATATGCCAAAATGGTCACTATTTTTTTTTTTTTTTGCCATTGTCCAAATAATCCTGTAGGCAACAGTGTAACCCACACATCTCTAAATCCTGTGTCCCTCAAGGAACTCAAATAAATTTTGTAGCGAGTACAAAATTTGATTTTCTCACACAAATGTTTGGGTCTACGCAGTTCAGAACATAACAAAAACTGGCCCACTCTAACACACCCGGACTCATCCCAGATAAGATTTTTATTATACTTCAGCTGACAGAAAGGGTGTAACCAGTGCTCAAGCCCTTACATGCTGCTGCTAGTCTAGGACTATGATCCGCTTATCTCACAACTCCTCCCCAACACAGAGGCTAGGGGGCAGTTGAATCCTATCCACAACACTTCCATGGACCCAAAGAAGCTGTCTGCAACATATCTACCCATTCTGTTTTGAGCTTGTCAGTTTGAACACCAGCTACAAAACAGTGAACTCTGGAACTCAAATACACTACCAGCTGCTGTTCTCTACTTGCTATCTAGAAGAACTAGCTACACTGGAAGAATTGGTCTCGACCAAGAACTCTCTTTCTGAAACTCTGGCACTGTCGGTCACATCTTTTAAGGGTCCTGTTTTAGATTCAGGAAGGCCTTTTCTGCATTGGGGGTACAGTTATTCAACATTTGAAATGAACTGTTTAGAATAAGGTTCTAGCCTGCTTTTGCTAAGATGAGTGGGCCAATTCTTGATCGCTTTAATTCACCGATTGGTTTTACAGTTGGCCAAGGCCTAATAAAACTAAAGTACTGTGGCTCTTCTGGCCCTGTTGCACATTTCCTGTATTTGCCATTAAACCTCCTATGTAGTTAAGTTAGCGATAAAGACCACTACATCACCTAGGGAGGCTACCACAAAGTGCTGATGAGACTTAAGGAGATCTCATGCATCATTCCCTCAAATGCAGAAGGAGCTCATTGGAGGCCAAGTGGCATTCTACCACACTGAAAAGATTCAGGTAGGGTAGCAAATGTTGTCTTTTCTTTTGCCTTCTCCATAGTAGCACATGTCAATATCTTCTAGTAAGGTCAAGATGAACCCCTCAATGAGTTCATCAACCTGTGGCATGGGGTAGGCAAACTTTCAGAACCCTTTCATTTTTCTGGACTCATTGAAGAATCTCAATGAATCAGACTTGGAACCCAGGAATGTTGGGCTACACCATTCAGTTTTGAACTGTTCAATTACCCCAACGTCTTTCATGACAGGGCTTAGGTCAAACTCTAACCTTGGGGTCCTTAATAATGTCATGTTTAATTAGATCTGTGCAGCCTGGAAACTCACCTCTAACTTTTGGGCTAAAAGAGAGGGACTCTGCTATTTGGACCTTCCATATGCCTTCATCTTTCTTCAGTGGCCCATCTCCAATAGCTAAGAGGAGCTTTTGTATCTTTCTAGGCTGTATTCAATTCACACTAGATTTGCTCCTTCTTCCATTTGTCTAGTACACCTTGTAGTTTACCTCCTCAACCTGTTTAGTATCTCAACCTCTTTAACCATATTAAGTATTTCATAAGGTCTCTGACATTTGGCAAGAAACCACTGTGGGGAGTAGAAGAAGTATGCGAGACCCAGGGTGGAGGATTTGAACCTTCAGAAAACTTTTGTATAATAAACTCTGGGCTTCCTGAGCCAGCTGCAGGTGTTCCTAGACCAGAGGCATAAGCAAAGCAATTATGTTTTGCAAGGCTGAGATATGCTGTACCAATTGTATGTAGTATTGTCACTTTCCCAGGTTTCCTTCACAATATCTAACAACCCTCAGGGGTGATGCCATACAACAGTTCAAAGGGCAAAAATCCTGTGGAAGATTTTGGGATGTCTTTAATTGCTAGCAACAAATAAGAGAATAAGCAATCCCAAGTTCAAATATATTTGCCGGGGGGCGTGGCCTGTCGCAACATGGAGTAGGTCTCAAGTAAGCAGAGCTCCACTGAAGATTTATCCTTTTAGCTATCCTGTGCATCACAGAGCAGCCTTCCTGACCAGATTTATCACCGAAGGGTCAGCATAATAGCACTAATCATGTCTCCCCCTTGGAAAACAGCAGATGCCTGTGTTAAGTTGGACAAATACAGACATAACGAATGGGATGTGTCAGGGGAGGATGGCTGCTCCTCTACTGCTCAGGAATCCACATCAGCAGAGATGGCTAGGATGTTGCTATCTTGACCTGCCAAACATCACTTACATCTAAAATAGAATACGTTAAGGTGGATAGTTCCCTTATTTGGCAGGATCTCCAGAAGCTCTAGGCCCGTGTATTTGAAGCAGAAGATAGGGTGACTTGTGTGGAGGATGCCCTCCCCCCACTACAGGGCTCCTCTGAACAGGCATGCCATCTTCTATCCCAATTGCAACAAAAGCAGGATGACCTTGAAATAGATTGAGACATAATAACCTCCACTTCATTGGCCTTCTTGAGGGTGCAGAAGGAAACAATTCGGCGGGATTCCTGGAAAACCTTCTCATTTCTACCTATGGTAGAGAGGCCTTCTCAGCTACGTTTGTAGTGGAGCGTGCCCACTGCATGCTGGCTAAACCAGCCCCTCAGGGAGTCCCGCCATGGGCCTTCATTGCTAAATTTCTTAATTACGCAGATCAGATGCTATACTATGCCTTTCCAGGGAGAAGGGTAATACACCTTTTGATAACACGGAAATTTACGTTTTTCCAGATTTCTTTACGGAGATAAGTCGTCGCAACAGATTTCTAACTGTGTTAAACAATGCCTTAGAGTCCGCCATCTTAAGTATGCTATGCTGTACCCGGCACATCTCCGTGTGGTTGGAGAAGACCATGTAGACTTTTTTGAGGAACCGAGGCTGCCAATGTATGGCTGGATCAACTGGATCCCTCCTGAGATATTTTTTTCCCCACATTCTGTTTTCTCTCATCTTTTTGTTTGATATGCAGTCAGTTGC